TAACACCAAAGATGAACTGAAGAAAAAATTATTTTAGAGTTGTGAATATTACTTTTTTTAAATAAAGCACACAGGGAGATTACTTGTTCTTTTTCAAAAACTAAAAGAACAAAAACAAACCATAATTTACATTAAAAATTAATCTGGATCAATGTATTTGAGCAGATATTTATTTTTCGGCTTACATGTAACCATCAATTCATTTCTCTTGTTTAATAAACTAGGGTTATTTAAGTGTTTTAAGATAACTACTTTTTCAATGACATACATTACATTTATTGCCTTCCCCATTGTAAGGTTTAGCTCTTGCTACAATATCCAAGACAATAATAGGTGTATTACCACCATTCTTTGTCAGAAATATTTATAGAGAGAACAGTGCTGTTTTTGTATTTTATATTGCCTAAAGTCATTTGATGATGGTAGAAACAAAATTTCATAGTTCAACACAAACTTTGTCTTGAAGATTGTGTTGAAGCATAAAACAGACAGATATATATATATATATATATATATATATATATATATATATATATATATATATATATATCAATTTAAGGAGGTAAAAATGAAGCTATGCAACTGCAGAGACAGTAATAATTGTCCTTTGGATGGTGGGTGCCTGATAGAAGGTGTGGTTTACTCAGTGAAAGTCAGTGATGGCTAAAATTTTAATAAAATATACATTGGCCACACAGAGGGCCCGTTTAAAAGGAAATATTACAATCATACTACCTCTTTTAGGCTTGAGAGCCATAGAAATGATACAAAATTGGCAAATTGTTTGGAGGTTAAAAGAAGTTAATGGTAGAGTCCCACACATAAAGCGGAAAATCATCAAAAAATAAAGCCGGGCATGGCCCAAGGAAACTACTGTGAGCTATGCCAAGAGGAAAAATTGATGACTGACACATACCCAAACATGGACGTACTGCTTAATGAATAATCAGAGGTGTTATCTAAGTGCAGACACCTTGGCAAATATTTGTTGTTTATGTACAAACCTGGATGAAAATATTTTGTGTTTTTTTTCCCCTCTAACCCCACCCCAACTTCCGGTATTCATATATAAAGGTGGTGGAGTCAGCTAAAATCTTTCATCCTACCAGCCTGAGGAGACCTAACGGTAGAAACCTGGGTAGCATTGTAACTTGAATTTTGGTGTCCTAATTACATATATATATATATATATATATATATATATATATATATACACATACCATTTTATATACATAGATAATTTACAAAGAATTCATTTTAATACTTCATTAAGTTGTCAATTCTTCAGGAAAGATATGTTTTTTGCACAAGTCTATTTTTAAAATCAATTGCAGTCTAAAATTGAATTTGAATATTTGGAACAAGATGGTACTTGCCATTTGTACTTTATCAAAAATGGATTTGAGCCTTAGTCATAGCGCACTTAGATATGACAAAACGTCTAATGGAATCAAACCTTGCAACTAAACACTTGCTCGTTTATCATCTCTAATGTTAACGAATATAAATGGATCCCTTTTTCCTACCATTTAATTAAATCTCATTGAAAGTCAATTAAGGGAACCGATTTGTTGAAACTTGTTTAGAAATATCCCTGATTTTTTATATCGTTTTTTTTTTTTCTTTTTACATTTTCTTCCCCAGTTGCCATTTATTGAAGATGCGTAAATTTGATCTCCAAAAATGGAGAGTATATTTAATTATAAACAAGAGCCATTAATGCTTATCTCTTAAAAGCCTTGAATGTCCACCGACAAGATGCTGACTGCTAAAATCTATGTTCCTACCTGCTGCAGTAAGAGATGACTTCAGGCAAAAGCTTAAAATAATTGTTTATAATCTCCGAACTTGTTCCTATAATTCTCTCCCTCTCTCAGCCAGTTCCTTCTCTCTCTCTCTCTCTCTCTCTCTCTCTCTCTCTCTCTCTCTCTCAGCCAGTTCCTTTCTTTCTCTTTTTCTCTCTCAGCCAGTTTCTTTCTCTCTCTCTCTCTCTCTCTCTCTCTCAGTTCCTTTCTGTGTGTATCTCTCTCTCTCTCTCTCTCTCAGTTCCTTTCTGTGTGTATCTCTCTCTCTCTCTCTCACTTCCTTTCTGTGTGTATGTCTCTCTCTCTCTCTCAATGAGTTCCTTTTTGCATGTCACTCTCTCAGCTATTTCCTTTCTGTGTGTGTCTCACTCTCTTTCAATCAGTTCTCTTCTGTGTGTGTCTCTTTCTCTCTCGCTCAACAAGTTCCTTTTTGTGGATCACTCTCTCAGCCAGTTCCTTTCTCTCTCTCTCTCTCTCTCTCTCAGTTCCTTTCTGTGTGTTTCTCTCTTTCAACCAGTTCTCTTTTGTGTGTCTCTCTTTCTCACTCAACCAGTTCCTTTTTCACACTCTCAGCCAGTTCCTTTCTGTGTGCATGTCTCTCTCTCTCTCTCTCTCTCTCTCTCAACCAGTCCTTTTCTGTGTCTCTTTCTCTCTCACTCAACAAGTTCCTTTTTGTGTGTCATTCCCTCAGATAGTTCTCCTCTATTTGTCTGTCTCAGCCAGTTCCAATTCAATCTGTTCACCTCTTTGTGTCTGTCTGTCTGACTCAGCCAATTTCCCTCTGTGCGTCTGTCTGCCTGAGCCAGATTTTATTTCTGTGTATGTGCATGTGTGTGTCTGTCTGTCTCATCCATCTCCTCTCTATGTATCTGTCTGTCTGTTTCAACCAGTTCTTCTCTGTCTAATTCACTCTTGAAATATTAATTATGTTGAGTGACATGGAAGTTTAGAAATATCTTAACAATTCAATTGAATTAACTATAAAAGTTGTTCAAAGTGATTAAATTTAACTATTTGTGAAGAATTATCATGGAAGCAATGTGAATATTTGTTGAATTTCTTTGACAGAGTATGGTATAAAGTTATCTGTTGTGGATAAAACAAATGTTACAAGCAAATGTATTTGTCACCATATTATGAAATAAGTTGTATTTGTTACATGGAGGAATTGATGTAGAAGTTACAATAAATAGAAATAATTCGTTTTGATTATCATAAAGAGAATGTCAAAGAAATCATTCTTTCTGCTTTAAACCTTTTTGTGGCTTTAACACTTTTCCCCTCTTTAAACGTTTCTGTCATCTTTAAAAAATTCTCTTTAAACATTTTTTCCTTTAAATCTTTCCTTTCTTTTAAAACCTTCTTTTCCATTAAATTTTTCTTTCTCTTTAAACGTTTTTCCTTTTAAAATTTTTTCATCTTTATACCTTTTACCTTTAAATCATTCTTTTCTCTTTAAAGAGAAAAGAAAGATTTAAAGAGGAAAAAGTTTAAACCTTTTCACCATTAAATCTTTCTTTTCCCTTTAAATCTTTAAAGATTTAAGGGGGAAAAAGTTTAAACCTTTTCACCATTAAATCTTTCTTTTCCCTTTAAATCTTTAAAGATTTAAGGGGGAAAAAGTTTAAACCTTTTCACCATTAAATCTTTCTTTTCCCTTTAAATCTTTAAAGATTTAAAGAGGAAAAAGTTTAAACCTTTTCACCATTAAATCTTTCTTTTCCCTTTAAATCTTTAAAGATTTAAAGAAGAAAAGGTTTAAACCTTTTCACCATTAAATCTTTCTTTTCCCTTTAAATCTTTAAAGATTTAAAAAGGAAAAAGTTTAAACCTTTTCACCATTAAATCTTTCTTTTCCCTTTAAATCTTTAAAGATTTAAAAAGGAAAAAGTTTAAACCTTTTCACCATTAAATCTTTCTTTTCCCTTTAAACCTTTTTTTCTTTAAATCTTTAAAGATTGAAAGTGGAAAAAGTTTAAAAGAGGAAAAGTTTAAAGAGAAACTTTAAACCTTTTTTCCTCTTAAAACTTTCTTTTTAAACTTTTCTTCCTTTAAATGTTTCATTTCTCGTTAAACCTTTTTTCCACTTTAAACTTTTTTCCCTTAAATCTTTCTTGTCTCTCTAAACCTTTTTTCCTCTTAAAACTTTTTCCTCTTTAAACCTTTTGCCATTTCCTCCTTTTTCCAAGATTGTACAACTCAAATGTGCATTCCAGTGAGAATGGAAAACTATATTTAAGATAAACTTAACGTCTACTCTGTCTGTTTACAGAGATGGCTGGTAGGACTTAATATAAACTGATTCCAACATCTTCAGATGAAATAAGAATTAACCTTGCTCAGTACTGAGAAAAATGCCTCGGTTAGAAGACCAGACACATTGCTGGTTGTGAAAGAAATGTCCATCTGCTACCGAACTATTTGTATTCACACCTCTATGCAAACTGTTCACATTGCATTTGCAAATATTTGTTGGTGAGTGTTAACTGATCTTTGCTTTCAAACCTTTGTCACTTTCTACCTATATAGTGTCACTGACATTTGAACTGGTAATAAGATCTCTGGGAAGCAATAAAAACAGGTATAACAGATGCTGATGTTGAAAGACTAAAATTATCAAAATCAATTACAGAGAGACTGTTAAAGTCTATAAAATATCAAAGAGTCTAGATCAATATTTAAAATAATAATTTAGTCAGGTATCCAGGATATTGTGGTAATCAAATATCTTTTTTGTGGCTTAGAATTCTTTTACTATAAAAATGTATTTTTGTACTTAAATAGTGTTTTGTTTATTTTTTTTTTTTGTGGTGGGGGGGTCCTATTTGCCAATAAATAGGACTCTACCAGAGTCTGGGAACAACATCAATTAAAAGGGGGTTCCACACTCCTCAAAACCTCAAATCTCCAGACCAGACACCTTGCTACCAAATGTAGTTTATTGTCATACCCAGGGTTAAATCTTTGTTGTACTTCACATACTAAAACATGACATAACCAAAACAAGTTATTAGTATTTGTATAGTATAGTATAAGTTGAAGCTCACTTGATATATTGCTTGTAAAAAAAGGTATATCCTGGCAATTCTACCAATACAAATTGGTTAATACTAATTTTCTAACAAAAACATTGATTTGTATTCTAAAATCTGACATGGTGCAGTAATTCTAGAGTGGATCAGTTTATTACTTAATAATAATAGAAAACTGATCCTCTACTTTATATCCAGTAGAAACATGCATAATAAAATCTGATACAGTGTATTAATTCCAGTGAGGATGAATTTATTACTTAACTAGCAACCATACCCAGCTGGTTAATCAAAAATGGATTCAATTAAAATGGAGTAAAAACAGCATCATGTTTAGTTGTAACAGTGTCTATCTTCTACAATTACTTTAAAGTACTTTCATTAAAAAACATTTTGAATTAAAGCAGTTACTGATATAACAGAAGTAGTCTGTACTTATTCAATCAAAGTTAGCCAAGGACATGAAGGAGTAAAACAGGCAACATGAAGACCCACTTCAGACCACAAATATTTTGGAGGTTTTGAAATTCAATTTGTCAGTGTGCTACCAGGGATTTAAAAGAGGATACATTTGTAAAGCAATTATTAAGTTTGATGAAAATTGGTTGAAAGCTCAACGAAAAATAAGAAAGAAACCAGTAAAAATCATTATTTTTTGCTATTTGCATGGATTTTCACAATATGGGTGGACTCAATTATCAAATTAAATGACTGTTAAACAATCAACTTATTGTTGGCTACAATTGAGTGAAGTTTGTATTTGATTGCTTGACAAGTGAGGGAGTTTTTAAGTTTAAAATTTGTGTTCAAATTGATTTTTCATTTTTCACAGTTTTTCGCTAAACAGTGGTGTAGAAATAAAAATGAGGTATCGTTGAGATCATCATGATGTAAGTAACGTACATACTGAGTTTGAACAAAATTGGACAAAAAAGTTGAATTGATTTTTTGATCAGCTTTATCGATTATTGATTTTTTTAAAAATTATCCATTTTTTATGCTAAGAACCTATCACTTACATTGTACAATGTATATGACAAGTTTGGTCAAAATCAGTTGGATAGATCTTGAGTGAAAAGGTATCACACAGACAGACAGATCGACACAGATATCTTCTGTTTTATATATATATAGATAACAATAGAAAATTAATTCCCCACATAGAAACTTAAATTTATATTTAACATAAATATATCTCGAAAATGTTTCCCACACTGGTTGGTTAATACTAGTTTTATTGGGGAAACATTGACTCACATCACAAAATCTGACATAGTGTAGTAATTCTAGGAGGATCAATTTATTACTTAATAAAAATATAAAACTGATCACCCATTTTAAGTCCGGTACAAACTTATATGAATATTTGTTGGCAAGATTAGAAGCATAATAAATGAAATATATAACAGTAGTCTAAGCAGATCTATCGTCATAGCGCTGCCTAAGAAGCCAGGGGCAAACGAATATGAACTCCATTGGACAATCAGCTTAATGAGCCATATAACAAAACTTATCATCTGAATTCAGATGAATAGAGTGCACTGCAGAATCAGACATGAAATAGGACAAGAGAAGTGTGGCTTCATTAAAGAGAATCGAACAAGGAATGCAATATTTATGCTCGGAATGATATCAGAAATAGCAAAAAAAAAAAAACTCAAAGGGATATATAACCACATTTTATAGATTATGCAAAAGTGTTTGATAAAGTAGATCACAGAGAATTGTTTCAACTGCTCATTAACCATCACATATTTGGGAAATATATTAAAATAATGCAGAACCTATACAGGCAGTGAACTGACTTCACACAAATAGTAAATGAGTTCCATAAATATACAAACATATGAAGGTGTGTAAGACAAGGATGTGTCTTCTCACCAGATTTGTTCAACCTACGCAGTAAGACAATTCTGAGAGAATTAGAACTTCCACCAGGATCCATTGTTTGTGATCACAATCTTAACAACCTAATATACATGGATGACACAGTGTTGATAGCAGATGAAGAAAGGAAACGACAAGAACTCCTACAGAAGGTAGCAAAGGAAAGCAAGAAGAAAAGACTAAACCTCAATTGCAAGAAGATAGAATGCATGGTTGTTAGCAAAAGGAACAGCTCAACATGCAAATTACAAATTGGAAATGCCAAAATCAAGCAAGTACAAAAATTTAAATATCTGGGAAATGTTTTAACAGAAGATGGAAAGTGTGCCATAGAAATCCAAAGGAACATTGGAATAGTGAAAGACACCTTCCAAAAGTAAAGTATTAAGAAAAAGAAAAAAAAGTATTAAATTGTTCTGCAATATCAGTCCTCCTATATGGCAGTGAATGCTGGACAATGTCCTCAAAGATGAAGAAGAGATTTGAAGCAATAAAAATATGGTTCTACAGAAGGTTGCTGAGAATGCCATGGACTGAACATGTGAGCAACAACAATGTTTTATTAAAATGGAAACAAAAAGGACACTTATACTTAACATCAGAAAGAGATAGTAGAAACACAATGAAGAAAAAGGACTGGGAAAATTTTATATTAACATGGCAGATTGACAGCAAAGAGGGATAAAGGAAAGCAATGCATAACCTACATAGTGAAAGCAGGAACGTGTGGAGAGCCATGATCACTGAGGCGCTGAAGGGACACAGCACATAGAAGA